GTCGTAACCATATCACCCCTCTGATGCAGTTTCTATGTCATTTCTTATAGGAATAAATGCCCTATTGGTCTTGTGTTTACTTCTTACAGTATATGATTAATGTTGAAAAGAAGGTTACAGCACTTAACATTCCCAGAGTCAATGATGTCTTACATTAATGCAGGAACTCCTCAGTGAGGTCACACAACACTGTAGGTATTACATTTCATGAAAGCATGTTGCATAAAAGAAATTACCTGAAAGAATAACCTACTTTATTACATTTCAGAAAACATATACTTATTTAGGGGCTCAAACAGACTTATAATAGAGTATGGAATCCATTTCTTAATCTTTTTAGAGGGAAAATACAGTGCTCAATCACTTAAGGAACATTTCAGAATAAGCAATGTTCACCTTGAGCAGCTCTTTCTACCCTGCACAATACTCAACTTGTTTCCATTTTTATGTGGCACTTTTATTTATTAGTTTATTATTATGTTTGTTCTGTTCTTTATTGTCTTTTCTGTATACTTAATATGTCAATGAATATAATCATGGAGTATTGTAGGTCTTTTAAATCACAATATCACAGTTAGAAACAAACACATGTGGATATTTTTTATGAATGAATCAGCAGTTTTATTATTGATATGTCTCAATTTCTCTTAATAGCTTCCATATTATGTAACCCTATGACTACAGATCGATGCAGCAGTGTAATATTATACTGGACGAGTAAGACACAACTACTTTTATAGTGTTAGTGTTTTATTCTTTATCTATTTCTATATGCAATGAGGTGAATAACCACATGATGGCGCTAAGCAGCTGCTGTGTGTCCCATTATGAGTCAATGGCAGCAGAGACACCAAAACTAGTCTGGTATTTGATTCTTCTATAGGCATAAAGTACAACACTTTTGAAATGAATACATATTTGCGTTTTCATATAAAGAAAAAAAAGACAGCCATATTATAAAGAATTCTAATTGGTAATCAAATGTAATGGTAAGGCCACATTGAAGCAGATTATTGTAATGTCTTAGACCAGGGGTGTCCAAACTACGGCCCGGGGTCCAACTGCAGCCCGTTGTCCATTTTGAATTGGCCCTCATCAAATTCAAAATCATAGTGGAATAAGGCCCACACATGAAACTTGTGCTTGTCTTAAATATATATGTGAACATATACTACACAGTATAGTATTAATGTTTCAATAAGCCCACTTTTCAAATAAATTCAGTCAATTTAAGTTGAAAACATTTTTTTCTAACAAATCTTAGTTCATCAAAAATAGCCAAATAACTTATTAACATTGTAAGCTTGAAATATACCCTTCCTATTTCCCCTTATTATAAGCAATCTGAGGCTTCTGTTTTAAGATATGAGATGCCAACACTTTTTGTAATAAAATAAATAAACCCTATGGAAAGCTGTTTCTTAAAACAGATTCAAGTATGAAGAATAATTTACCTACATTTGATTGATTTTGCTAACTTATAACTTAAGACATTATACCTCTAGTGAGGGGCCCAGCCCTTCGTATGTTTTTCTGTATATGGAAAACATTTTGGACACCCCTGTCTTAGACCTAAAACAATGTAGCCCATTACACAAGCATTATATGTGAAACCCAGCATTGCTTTAGAACAAATTTGAGCATATTGTTGCATCATAATGTTTCCAAAGTGATTATATAACATTCTTTTTAATCTTTGAGCCATCGGTCCCCAGGTCCAGACATCAGCACTCGGTATGAGCGGAGGCCCCCACATTAACTAACTGCTCATTTGATTTATTTTTTACAGAAAAGCTGCCCTAAGTCTAATACTCTAATCAGCATTCATACCTTGCCATGATGATTCGGGACAATGCTTTTTTATTGAGGAAATGATCTCACCCTTGAGTGCCAGAATCAGCCTTTTTTTACAGCCCATATCCTCAGGGCCTCATCCATCACGAGGTGTCTGGGCGACACGGCCACTAGACACACACTAACTCATTTAAGAAGAGGGACATGCAGGAATATATCACTCAAGATCACTAACTCACTTACTGACGGCTCAAACATCTCTGTGAGTTTTAACCACAGGAAAATAAAGACATTGTTTTCTGCTGACAGATGAAGGACGAACGGGTTCCCTTTGGATTTGTGTTTATCTTTCAATCATCCATCTTTATGCTTCATTGTCTCCTCTCCTCTCCTCTTCTTAAACGTACAAATAAGATCACAGGCTTCATGTTACAGAACCAATCGTGACTGATTGCCCCTAAAGGCTGCACCTCTCTCCAGTTGATATTTCCTTTATCGACTGCAAACTCAATCCAAAAGCATGTAATCCCACAACATATCTTCTTCTTTAATCCCCGGTCTAACAAAAGCAGAGTGCTGCTCATCATCTCAATAATTTACAATTACATTTTCAAAATGATTGCTGTAAAACCTGGTTGTAAGAGAAATTTGAAACACTTGATTTGAAACACCTACTGTATCTAGCAGCAAGCAGCATATAAACAAGCAAGATACTGCTGAAAGCAATGGAAGAAATCTAGTAAGGGGACATTGAGTTAAGATTTTATTTTTGTAAGGTGCAGAATTTACCTTCAAGCTCAATATTTCTTAATTTGTTTGATAGATATTTATTCCAACGGTTCTAAACCTGCCATTGATTTGTCACTGTGTATAAACCATAGCAGTTTGTTCCCTTGTATTTGTCTTTGTATGTCATTTTATAAAAATCATCATACATTTATCATTTATCATATTAATGGACACTATGTTACATGTATGTAACAACATGAACATTAAAGGGGATATATCAAGCTATTTTTTGGGTTGATAATTGAATTAGGTTTTCTCATAAAAACATGTTGAAATGCTTTATTTGTTAAAAAACATATTTTTTTCTCATACTGTCTGAATAAACCTGTGTTCACCCTCAATCTAGAAGCTTAGTTTTGGCCCCTGTCTCTTTATGTGTTTTATCCTAAAAAGCCTTGCTCTGATTGGTCAGTGTATCCAGGTAGGACTGGCAATTTAAAGGTCACCTATACATCTTAGTTCTTACTCTTTTTCCTTACTGATGGTATGTAATTTGGTTGTGTGTAGACGGTGGAAGCAGGGAGAGGCATATACGTGCCTTGATCCCTGCCGAGTCGACGCACAACTGTTGATTGGTGTCAGTGCCAAAAAAACGTTTTAGGAGCAATGCGCTCATGATATAGATGTGGCGCATACATCTTAGTTCCTAATCTTTTCCCTCACCCTATCCTAAGGGAGTGCATGTACGTAGACACGTTGTGCCTCTCCACCTCTGTTCCTTACTTCTTACTTGCTACCCCTTTCCCTCAACCTATCCTAAGGGAGTGCATGTACGTAGACACGTTGTGCCTCTCCACCTCTGTTCCTTACTTCTTACTTGCTACCCTTTTCCCTCAACCTATCCTAAGGGAGTGCATGTACGTAGACACGTTGTGCCTCTCCACCTCTGTTCCTTACTTCTTACTTGCTACCCCTTTCCCTCAACCTATCCTAAGGGAGTCAATGTACGTAGACACGTTAGTTTAGCTGCTATAGACTGTCGGGGGACACCTTACTTCTTCCTTCTGTCTGTCTGTACCTGTGTACTCTCATGTTCCGAATAACCCAGCTTCCCCCAAATTTCTTTTTTGGTGTCTATCTACGCCGGGATCCTGAGTCGCTGATCCTGTTGCTGCGGTCCTGTGTCCTGGATCCTGAATCATGTGTCCTGGATCCTGCATCCTGAGTCCTGGATCCTGAGTCCTGGATCCTTAGTCCTGAGTCCTAGATCCTGTGTCCTGGATCCTCTATCCTGAGTTCTGGATTTGAGTCCTGGATTTCGAGTCGTGGCTGAACCTGTCACTGTGGTCCTGCCTGACTCTCATCATACTACTTCCCTGATGGCTCCCACAGGATTGTTGACATCCTCGTGGATTCATCTTCTTATTACAGACACATGCATTTCCAAACATTTGGTCTACCTACGCTATGAAATGTATTATCTCTTCGATTTACACACGGCATCTATTGCACGTCTGTCCGTCCTGGGAGAGGGATCCCTCCTCTGTTGCTCTCCCTGAGGTTTCTCCCATGTTCCCCTTTAAACTGTGGGTTTTTCTCTGGAAGTTTTTCCTTGTACAATGTGAGGGTCTAAGGACAGAGGGTGTCGTATTGTCATACTGATATTCTGTACAAACTGTGAAGTCCACTGAGACAAATGTAACATTTGTGATATTGGGCTATATAAATAATTATTGATTGATTGTTCTGATCCATTTATATAAAAACCTGTCTGAAAATGAGCAGCAGCTCATATGCATTTAAAGCTACAGACAGAATCAGAACTTTTGAAACAGGGCTGAAACAGAGGGGATTATGGGATGCTACAATCCATGATCTGTTTGGTATTCTGAGCTAAACACTTCAGAGACATGTTTTGTATATATCTGAGACCTATAATATATTGATGGAAAACAGTATAATAGGGGACCTTTAATACTTTCACACAGTATTCATATAAAACCTACTCCTGCTCACTTTTTACAATATGGGACCTTTAAGCAAAAAAATATCCTTGTATCTGCTTACTAATTATATGTATTAAGTGTATGTCTACTGATTATAAAGGCTAAACAAGGGGATTTGAAGCAAAGCGGGCCAAGACTTACTTTTTACCTATAACTCTAAATAAATGCTGAGAGGGAGGTTGTATAATTGTATGATGAAGCGATGAGTGGACTGCCTCTGCTTCATCAGACTGAACAGGCCTGAGATGACCGGTACCCCTCGGAGCCACTGTTAGACTTCATTACATTATAGCTGTTAATTATAAATCTCCATCCAACTGGGCTATGATGGCCTAAATGTGCCATTACGGTTCGGACTTGGAAATGACTGTCCATTGTCAGACTGTGAGAATAGACTGCCCCCACTTACCAGCTCTTAATAAATGAGCCTTTCTTCTGTTTATTGAATAAGACGACACTTATGACATGAGCTTTGCATTAAGGGGATCATGTTTATTGCCCAAGAATCCACCTGAGAATGAAATAGCACGGCACAGCTCATCCAAACCAAGCTTATTTGCATCTTTAAACATCTCTGTTGGCATAAGACATGACGTATATACAGCGAAACGTACAGTACATACATTTAATCCGGCATACTGCTGCCGTCATCTTGTCACAAAAATATGCACGTTATAGCGTCACAGTACCTTAAGGAGCAAGACCTTTATTCATTTTACTGCGTTTCCTACCCAGTTTATTCCCTTCATTTATCATGTGCGGAAAAAAGACAAGTTTTAGATATAACTACTCTTCACACAAAACACACTAACAGATTAACAGAGCGCCATCACCAGTTTCCCCAGACCTTATGGCTAAAGTAGTGCACAAATTTCATCCTACACATAGACTTCTACCGTAGAAAGGACATCAAATGCCTCCCTAATCCAGATTATACAGTGTGGCAGCCATTTTACATAGTTACATTTTAATCTACGTGTTTACATCAACTCTACGACATTATGATCTTCAAGTACGTTCTCTAATTATAATCATGTTGCCTCGAAGAAATGATATGGTACATCAGTGCTGTAGCAGAGAAGCTAGTAAAAAATTATCTTACAATGATATCATTTAAAAATCTTTTTAAAAAAGTATTATCCACTGTCTTTAATCTACTCTTTGTTAATGCCACATTAGGAAATAAAAATAAACAGCAAACCAACAGAGCCACTTTTAAATAAATAACACTTTGCTGTCGAACAATTGTATTACGTATCATTAAGTACTCTTTCCCTGAACATTTCTACTAAAATAAGGACGCCGCTTATTGTTATAAGAGATGCCGACCACTTTATAGCTTCCCTTTAATTGTTTATATATGAATGTAGTGGTTAGATAATTTGCGATACACAACACAGCAGGGATACATGTTTATGTGAATGTCTTACAGGCCACATTATATTATTGTGGACCAATGCTGGTATTAATAGTACGAGTCTTTACTCTTTGGCAAGACTTACCTCTTAGGACACATTGACCTTTACTCTTCAAAAGGACAAAATCAAATCATCAAAAGGCTCTCTAAATGCACTAGAATGCAGATTAACAGGCTTCAAGATGGATGAAATAATCCATCAGGATCTTCAAGTATCATGGGTCTTTTGACAAAAGAAGCTCTACGTTTGGCATGTTAATATAAATATCTCTAGAACGCGCTTTCTTCTGCTCTAATGCTGTCTGTCCGCTTTTAGACTTTTTCGTAGCAGGTCAGCACAAACAGCAACAATGAAAATGTCCTGGTTGTCAAGACAATTAAACCAATTCATTCAAACTTTCATTGGGAGTTGGAAGGATGTTGCTCTAAAATGTCTCGTCTGCCTGCCTATAAAACATAATTCCTGCCGATTGCAGAATCAAAACTTTAAGTCAAAGCTGAAATGGACAAATACATGGTGTCAAACCCCACCATTACCCGTTATCTTTCACTTCCTGTTACCCACTGCGGGGGGTCAGGAAGCAGCTTGGGGCAGTCTGAGTTGGGGTCAGGCCTTGGCCTCCAGCAGTTCGAGGAACAGTTTGTGCATGGGCACACGGCCGTCCTGTTTGATGCTGCAGAAGTGCTGGACAGCGCGAGCGGCCGTCTGACGGAGGAGAGGGAGGGTCATGATTAGCTTGCCGGCCCGCCGAGGGTCCTCCAGGCGGTGGGTGGCCTCGTAGTCCTGAAGGGCCCCGTGAAGGACGTCCTGGAGTCTCTGAACTGCTTCCAAGTCCTCAATCTGAATGGAGTCTGTAAGGAAAAGAGAGAAGTCAGGAATTAAGGTGTGTCAAGGATTTAAATGTTATCTACTTTTTAGTTTTAGTAAAAACAAGCTTTTGGATTCTTAGGATTCATCCTCTTTGGACCATGAATGTCTTTACATAGGTTCATGACAATCAATCCAATAGTCCACAAAATGTGAAGGCCCAACCAACCATCCATGGAAGCAAAATGCTATAATGGCTAAACATGGGCCTAATTTCTGTATTGACAAACTTAACCTAAGTAACCTTACCTGAGTTAGCGAGTGCGATAGCTTTGAGGACCACAAACTCCTCCTTCTCCAGCCCCATGGCTTTATACTTCTTCACCAGCTGCAGGATGGCGTTGTTGAGGTCGAGCAGCCCCGCGAGCTTCGACTGCTCCTCGTCCATGATGTAATCCTCGGCGTACACCAGCTTGTCCTCCAAGGCCAGCGAGCGAAACACCACTCGAAGGATCAGAATCTCCATCCAGCCGCTCTGCAGCAGACTCATCTGGTCAGCCAGAGACAGGGAGGGGAAGCCTGGAGAGACAAGAGAAAGGGAGATTTTAAAAGGGACACTCCGCATAGGGACGCATATTATAAATAAAGATCAGTTTATGTACCAACAACGTTTGTTGCTGGGCATGGGACTACACATATTAGGACCAAATCCTACTATTAAAAGGCATTTTCAATTACATAATCATTTATGGTCTAATGAAAATGTGGTTAAGTTGCTTATGGTTATTGTAGAATATATTTTTGAAGATAACAGGGACTATAGGTCAGGATATTTGAGCCTCTGCTGCACACATTCTTCTATCTCTCGCAAGTCGCCCAATTTAATAATGGAAATGATTTAATCCCTGGTGTAATCCTTAAGAGATGTTGGCTAAACTATTTCTTGTGTTGTATCCAAATTCCCTCAACCTGCTGCATCTACCTAAACTATTTATGTCTGACTGTTTGCAGCTTAAATAATAGATTGTATTCGGTAAAATAATATGAATGATCATACCAACTGCTGCATTAGAAGACCATATTGCAAAGGGCATAACAAAGGACAGAGGGAGTGAATAGGGGGTACATTTAATTACACTCTGTGGGACATACCCAACTTGATTGACAATTACACCCCACAGGAGCATGATTAAACCTGCTCACGTCCCCCGCATAAACCTGCATACACACACTCACACGCACGTTTACTGTAATTAAACAGATGATTTTACAGAGCAGGGGGAGGCCGGGGGGGGGCGTTTGTGTTTTTGACACCATCGGTGATTGTTATCAGGATCCACTGCTCTTTACAATCACCACGGGGACGTGAGTGGCGCCCGTTTCCCCACTATCGCTCCCTGATTGATTGGAAACGCTGTCTGTGCACAATTTCATTGGTCGATAGGGATCAGTATTCTGGCACCGGACCATCGATCAGGGACGGAGACCTGTGTGAGTGTGTGTGTGTGTGTGTGTGTGTGTGTGTGTGTGTGTGTGTGTGTGTGTGTGTGTGTGTGTGTGTGTGTGTGTGTGTGTGTGTGTGTGTTGGGGCTTGTGTGATCAAATCTTAGACAATATATTGATATATTTTAATGACAAATACAAGTTTAACCTTCAGTAAAAAGAAAAGAGCGTGTTTTAAAGGGACGAGGCAAAGGGCATTGAGTCCAATAAGGAGATGACATTTGTGGATATTTCTCTAGCCAGTGTTGGTTGTATCATTTCAACAGAAACACACTCCCAGCCACACCGCAGTCGTCTTTCACGCACACGTTTGACAGCCAACTTGAAGCACGGACTCAAAAAGGCCAAAAGCAAAGAGGGCAGTTGGTCTTTAGCCAGCTCATCTGCCAGTCTGGCCCTCAGACTTCAGAGCACATCACCGTCAATATCGCTGATAAGAGCGGACACAGAGGAGGGGGAGCAGCCAGGACAGTAGCCCCATCACACTCACCTCCCCCTGGGCAAAGAACTCAGATGGCTGGGCCACTTTGCCCAGGTCCCTGGTTCTCCCAGCGATGGGGCCCGTGTGGCCTGCCACTCATCCAGAGCTGATGTGACATGGCCATTACGCTGCTAGGAGGGGGCAGTCTTTTTTTTTAATATATCTCTGTGTGGTGTCTCTTTGATCTACCTTTCTTTCTTTGTCCAGCTGTCTTTTACCTCATAAACCTGTTCCTCAAATTATGCTTTTGTCCCTTCTTTTCCTTTGGTCTTCTTTCTCGTGATCTCATCTCTAGTTACGCAAAATGTTCTTTAACATAATTGTTCACTTTCTCAACGTCTTATGTGCCTCTCTACCCCTCTCCTTCTGTTTTTCTCTCTGTCTTTGTCTATTAAATTAAAAAAGGAAAGATTCCTTTTAGGTTGAGCTACCGTCAGCCATTTAGCCTAGCTTAGCATAAATCCTTGTAACAGTTAACATAGCTCTAACAGTAAGTATCAAAGAATTTGCCTCTAACTCTAACTCAAAGACATACTTTAAATAAATAAAAACAAACATAGAACAGCACATTTTCTTTTTAGAAGCTGTTGCCCCTGTTTCCAGTCTTTATGCTAAGCTAGGCTAACCTTCTGACGGCTCCGGTTTCACATTTATTGTACAGGCATTAGAGTGGTATCTCGTCTCATCTAGCTCTCTGTAATTACATGACACTAGTTAACAGTAACTGCCAGCCTCCTGATCAGGTCTTTAACAACCCTCTGCTCTTTTCTAAATAAAGAAGCCTTTTTATGCAACCCAGTCTCACGGCATTTCGTGCAATAGTCACGAAATACATGTAATCTATTGATTCGTGTTCACCAACACGATTGTATTTCTATTGGTAGTATGTTTCGTGCCTGCATCACGTCTTTTTATCCGGTCGGGTCTTGGAAGACCACCAGTGTGGTTCATAAAAACATTTTCTTACTCATTATCAAGCCACGATTATTGTTTTTATTTTAAATTGTATAATGTCGGACTTTTTTTGCCGTTCGCGAGGAAAATAAATGGGGCTCAGAGCCTCAGAATACTGAAATCTGTATTTTTTAAATCTTTTTTTCCTTATAATTTGTTATTATTTGGTGCAGACACGAAACATACTACCAATATAAATACATTGCTTCTAAAATCGTCAGAATACTAAAATCTGTATTTTTTTTTAATCTTCTTTCTTTCCAATTTGTTATTATTTACGTTGCTTTTAAAATCGTTCTGTGTGACACGAAAAAAATGGGGAAATCGTGTTGGTGAACACGAATCAATAGATTAATTTCGTGACTATAACACGAAATGCCGTGAGACTGGGTTGTTTTATGTGCCTCATCTCGGCTGACGTAAATGCACCTTTTGCTTCATTGTTTGTGACATTTCGGAGTAGAATTAGCTTGACAGTTTGGATGAATACATGGCTTTCTGTCTCTCTGTCCCCTCAGGTGGGAATCTGCTGTGTGTGCGGGCGGTCCCCCAGCAATACCCTCCACTGGCAGAGGGCTACAAATACACCCATCAGTTGGACTCAAGTCTGTCTCGTGCGCTGACAATAAAGAGCCGACAACGGGAGAAAAGAGGCAGACAACACAGCCTAGGGGGGGGGGGGGGGGGGGGTGAGAAGGAGGGGGTGGGGGGGGGTAAGGAGGTTTTGGGGGGGGGCTGATGCTCGTCTTTATCTTCTAACAGAACAATGGAAATGCTGATGAGAGACACCAAACACCAACACACGCTCAAATGGTTGCTTCATGTCCACTTTTTGCAGGGACAAATGTAGCAGAGATACAAGAACACACACACACACACACACACACACACACACACACACACACACACACACACACACACACACACACACACACACACACACACACACACACACACACACACACACACACACACACACACACACACACACACACACACACACACACACACACACACACACACACACACACACACACACACCTGCTTTGTTTGTTTTGTAAGCATATCAAAGGTAGGACATCAACAAAAAACCCAGGTGTTACCCTGGTGATGTTTTGGGTGTGTATAACTACACCTGATAAAGCAGTCAGGGCTTCAGTTAAGGAAAATTGTAGATTAGAGGAACAAATACACAGAAGAGAAAGTGGGAGATAGTAAAATGAGAGATATAAAAACTGGTATCTGCTAAAGAAATAATGTATAAAATGTATTATTGTTTAATCTATTGCTGTTGAAAACGTTGGGATCTGCTAAGTTTTTGAGGTGAACTGGTAGAAAATTGTTTTAAATGTATAGAGTCAAAAAGGTGTCGTCTTTAAATGTCCAGCCAACAGTTCAAAACTCTCATGTATTTAATATAGATAAATATATGATCAGTAAATCTGAGTAAAGAATCAAATCTTTAAATTGGAAAAACTGGAACCCATTAACATTTGACTTCTTCACTTAATTTGTCAATCCATTCAAACAGTAACACTATTTTAAATCCAATGATAGTTAGTAGACAGAAATTATATTTTTCCAGCTTTTTAAAAACATGGAAATGTTTTGTTTTTCTATGTTTTACATTGTTGCAAACTAAATATTTCTTGGTGTGCACTAATGGTTAAATAGTAATAAGACACCAACTTCTGCTATGTTAAATCGTCAATGGAAAAATACATGAGTTTGTCATTTGAGAGCAGCTCACACCCCAGGGTGGCCCAGAACACAACTCCCAGAGTGTGAAAAGTGCCTCTGAATAAATCCAGGTGCTGTTTTTCATTTGTGTGTGTGTAACGGTTTTCAAAGCCAAGTCTCAAAAGCAGACCTGCAATACGATTACAACCGCCAGCATAGCTGCATACCAGTTTTAATCCCACTAAGCTATCAGAATGCACTTACCCTCTTCTTTCCATCATCTCATCCAAAGGGGGTAAATAAATGTTCCTACTGCGGTTCCTGTATCAGAGGAGAAGCTAAGTGTTGGTCCAAGTGTCAGGAGGATTTCCGTAATTCATAGGCGTCCGCTGCCCAGGAAATGAATTAAAACTTCCAGGTAGCCACTGGTCATCACGTTGATTTATTAGGGACGCACATTGGTAAGCAAGGGCATGGCACACACACACCAACACACCCACCCACACACCCACACACCCACACACCCACACACCCACACACACACACACACACACACACACACACACACACACACACACACACACACACACACACACACACACACACACACACACACACACACAGGGGATAAGTGACAGATAACACACAGCCGCACCAACATGCCCTCTGTCCTCTGGGCATCTTGGCAACCACAAGTCAAAACAATCTCCTCCTCTGATCTGATTACAGACTTAATGTGAGCTAATGTCTGCGGTGGAGTGTGTGAGCGAACAACTGCCGGCCTGACTGATGGTACCTGGGATGTGTTTGGCCCAGCCGATGTTCACCACCAGCTCTCTGTCGGCCAGGTCACACAGCGTGGTCAGAGCCTTGATGTCGCTCTCGGGCACCGTGGGGTCCGGCATGGCGAAGATGCCCTCTGGCTCGGCCACCAGCAGCAGAGACACCACCTTGTTCTCCACCACACCGCCAACAGTGACTGAGAAAGATGGAAACATACGTTACATTTGTGTGATCATAACCAACTTATCATTAAATGCAATATATTGATTACACGAAGAACAGACATTGTTTTTTCAATTCACTTTTGTTTTGCCTCTTTCCAGTAAAAACCATGAGTTTTCAAATTAAGATTGTTTTACTTTCCTCTAGAGCTGCAACATTTAGGCTACTTATTGATAACTATTGACAGAAAACACATCTACTTTTATAACTGGTAATCTTTGAAACAAAAATTGTAGAAAATGTAATTTTTAGCCTCTCAAATGTGGATAATGTTCTGCTTTACTCAGTTAAATGAGCTAATATAAAGCGATTGCCTCAGGACGGACATTTTCCCCTTTTTTTTGACATTTTGTAGACCAAAATATGAACTGATGTAAATGAAAATTTGAATAATTAGTAGTTGTTACAAGTTGAGAAAAAGGTCCAGATTTCCTGACAGAATGTAAAGCATGGCAACAATGTTCATTTCAGCCAATTAAAAAGTCTCACGTCTCACTTTATAAAACTGAAGTTGGCATTGATTGATGCCAACTCATTAGCAAATACAAGCTATAAAAATGATTTAGTGTTGCGACAGACAACATCACATCACATAAATGTGTACTTGCACCATTACGGATAAAACCAGAGGCTCTAATATCTAAAATCAAGCAATCCATCAACATCGACTCAACAATTATCTTCTACAGTCACTTTCTTAATGGGTAATATAATGTTAATGCAAGCTTTTGTTTCTTACACTTACATGTTCTTTTCTGAGGTAAGGCATTCTGTGGGTGCAGATACGGGCTGTTCTCCGCATCTATTCTTCTTTTGTATTTCTGTCTGCCGCCTCGAACCCGGTCCAGACGAACACCTTCAGAAACACAAACAACAGGACATTCATGAGGCAATTCAATATATACACAAATTACAATATTCACAATTGGCTGTCTTTAAATCACTAATTAAAGTCACTCATATGGACTGAATAGATATGTACTCAATATTTCAAACACTATTGAAAAATATATATATATTCGTTTTTTTATTTAATGATTAGGTAGAATTACTGACTCAGTGCGCCAACAAGTCAGGTTGCGTGTTTACATCTTTGTCTGTTGAAAATGTCTCCACTTCACCCATTTAGAATTATTTTGTGAAATTGTTCTAATTAGCATATTAATTCTTGAATAATGACCTAAAACATGTGGTTTGTGCCGAATTTGAAAATATTTGCTCTGTGAATTGGAAGGACCAAAGGAGGGACAACAAGAATAAATGTTGCCTTTGCACACTGATATCGTTGTTGCGGGTGCATACAAATGCATCTAGATGATGTGATTACAGAGAAAATCAGGGTTAGTTTGTTGAAATAGAGGTTTAATATTATTAGTAATTGTGAGCAGAATGGCTTTTTTTTAAATTCATTATATTTCGTTATCGTTGCTAAAAGGAGCGTTACCGTTCATTCACGTAATCAGTTATCAAAAGCTATTGTACACGGTCAACCATCGACCAATCATCCACTCCCATGTCCCAAAGATCTCAAGGAGACATGGACGCAACATGTCTTATGCTGGCACAGCAGCACACATCCTGTAACACAACACCAGACAACTTCAGAGCCGCTGATGACAACTGCTTACCTTAACGAGCATTATGGTAGACTTGTCACCACAGAGATGGGGATTTAAGAGTGTGTGACCGAGTGTGTGTGCACGGGGGGTAACTGAGAATAACATTGACCAGGTGTATCTCTAAACAAAATGTGTCCAGTGAGTGAACGTGACTCAGGGAGCCTTCAGTAATGGTGTTGGGTTACTAGTCCACACAGAGGCCATAGTGACCCTGGATAGATCTATAATGGCACTCTGAGGGTATTATTTGCCCACTTGACACCTCACTGTGACACTTCATCCCTTTGAGCCTGCTTCCTCCTGGACTTATTCTTACTTATGCAGATATTTATGGAGAGCATGCATTAAAGGTGGGGTAGGTAAGTTTGAGAAACCGGCTCGAGATACACTTTTTGTTATATTCCATGGAATGCTCTTAACATCCCGATAGCAATGAATATCTTAAGTGCTTTGACAAAAAATCCATAAAAAAATGTCATCTGTGGAAGCCGTAGTACTGTAAAAAGCACGACCAATCATTTTAGCCGGCCCGGCTAAAATAACTGGATGGCCTACCTGCCTGTCAGCCTTCCATCTGTGTCATTGGTCATGTGCGCGTTCGTGTGTGTTGGAGGAGGGGCTCTGTAAGGAAGTGGCAGATTTTTTCCGGCTGTGTATTTTCAAATTCTAGCGCACTCTAGCTGGTTTCTCCAAAATTACCTACCCCACCTTTAACATCCACATTAAATAACCTTTAAATCAGGTAGGTGAAATGTGCCGTTGGGTTGAACAATGTTCTCATATTTTTGCATCATTGGTTTGAAAAGCCATTTTGTGTCATTTTATAGTCAAGCCATTACCTTAACAACAATTTGTATAGAATTTCAGGTTTATTATTTAATGTACCGTGAACTGAGGTATGACGGAAAGCAAGGGCCTCTCATAACGAAGCAAAGGTTTGAGAAATTGATTCATGACCTTTGCTGTAAACTAACATGCTCTTCCACCACACATACTATGACATATTTGTTATATGTTTCAGTAAAGGTGACAAATGGAAGCTTGCAAAATCTCCACAAACACACCTCCTTAAAAATGTTTTTTACAGTAATGTATATATTTTCTAATCTCAATAAATGTTGTATATTTCAAGTAAGGGATTTGTCTTTCAGCTCCTCTGATTGTGGCTCAATTGTAAAAAATGTATATCACATTCTTCCCTTCACAAATTATGGTTCAACAGTGTTTGAATGTGTTATAAGGTATGGATTATAGATTGCTTTTATTCTAATAATGTGTCAAATGTAAGAAATCCTACTCAAGATGTGTGGGGAATTAAAGAAGGGATTGGTGTGTGAACTCATTCCCCCCTGATCCTCCTCCTCCTCCGATGATGTAATCCGGGGCAAATAGTAAGTGTGGATTACCCTGGTCCCTTGGCAGGTGCCACTCTGAGGTGTGAGATAAGGGATGAGGGTGCTTACTTGTGCATCTGATTTAATACCAACTGTCGGCGAACAATGGATTGAATCAAACAACGTTGGTCATTCGATATGTCAGAAAAGTTAGTTTTATACGGGTACGTTTGTGTGCATGTTTGTGCTTAGATTTGACAGTTATTCAAACGCACACATCAGAGTTAAGTGTAACTCTTCACTGTGGAATGTGCTGACAACCAAAAGGCCTAGAATAGCTTTGGTGGATAACAGGCACACATTCATCTCCTCCCTGTTCTTCTGTACAGCCCACTAGAGTTCAATAAACACTGAGTACTCAGACATTGATCTATTTTTCCCTGCTCTCATCACTCAGCCCTCTTTTGAGAGTGTCTGGAACTTCACATGGGAATCTTTACAGATTTTGAAAACTGTCACAGAGCAGCAGGATGAGGAACACTGACACAAAGCCGCTGATCCGGACTGATCTATCAGCCTCCATCACTAATGCCACTACCAGCATGTGTTCAGTATAAACAATCCCACGCTTTATGATATTGCGACAACTGTACACAAAACCACTGTCGCGTTAAATTCCCTGCACACTGCTTCTCAAATGAAAAGGATTTAGAAAGTTGGCGGCAAAAAGCCAGCATAAACCGTTTCTCAGAATACAGATTAACATGGGATGATTAACACACCTTGGACCAAATAAATTCCGGCAGCAGGAAGTGGGATGACACGGTTAAGGAAAAACAAAGAAGGTACCTTAGAGGTATTGCAGCACCACTTGCAATATCTTATAGGAGCAATTACATCTGTATGATGAACTGTATTTTTAAAATATTCCACACATTTTGCCAACATGTTTAACTGCCCTTAGAAGTGACAGCAACTGTAGTATTGAACACTAAACAGGGCTTAATCAAATCCTGCCCCAGGTCTATATGTCTTTTAGCCGTGTATTTAATACGGCCCTGACTCTCCCCATTAAACCTCACAGCTCCTCTGTCTCAGCCTTTACTGCGGCCTCTCGGGGAAGAGGGGCATTACGAGACACGATGAAGCGCGTTATGAGGGCGCTTACGATCGGAGTTACGAGGGGCAGTTCGCATTTCACGGAGGTCCAGGAATCCCACAAGGCATCTGGAGGAATTTACGAGGGGGAAGGGAAAGCAAAAGGGGGTGGCAAGAGGAGAAGGGGGTTGAGAGGCAGAATGGGATGCTGTTGATGCCCTTACCCTATTAAAACCAGCTAATTTAGAAAAATGGCAGACACACACTCACTCACAAACATAGAGGTGTGCCTTTAAATGTGAGTGCAGGCTGACATGTGATAAACAAACTCATATACACAAACTGATACGCATGTAAAGATGCCATGAATCTGTTTATCTATAAGTTAAACATACAGAGACACACAACAGCAATAAACAGATGCTGTTATGTGTTTTAAGATGAGTTGGGGTTAAAGAATCATTCAAGTCAATAATACCTTGGATCTTATTTTCACAGTTTTAGACAACGTTTCTATAAGTTATGATAACATTAAACTTCTAATAATACTGCTATGGAATATTACGCACTACCATATGTGCTAGCTCATACAAAATGTAAACAACAGAAACGTATTGGCTAATGATACATTTGACTTCATTTTATCTTCAAGATATGTGTGGCTAACATGTAGCTTTTTATAAATGCCTTGACACACCACCATCTGATATGGTCACATTTTGAAATCCGTATTTTAGGTTTAACTTTTTAGGCAAGCCGTCTTTACAGCGCTGACGTTCGAGAGAACAGAGAGCCACATTTCCAAAATGGAGGAAGCTAATGTAGCTTATTGTGCCACCCACTTTAATTTATGTAACCTTTTCTATATACATTTCTTCACAAAATAAGAATTGGGGTGAAGAGTTTGGGGTGTACATTTAATCTTTTTTAATAAATTGTGTAAACGTATTGTCACGTTAGCAAACGAGCTAACAAGCTGCTAAGAGATTGTTAGCATCTGGTTAGTAGGCCTAAGCATTTTTCCCCCTCTTCAATAACTCTTCAATTAATTAAATGGTGTACACTTAAATGCTTTAGTTACTATTCTTCTATCCTAAAACTGTACCCACCACGGACAAAGAGTCAAACACGTATGTTTTATCTGCTCTCCACTCTTTTTATCATCTATTGGCCCGACACTGCATGCAGCAGTATCCGGTACAGTAGGAGGTCGCTAATGTTTTCCTTTTTGAGTCACTTCTAAATCTGGACACTATGTCATCAGACTGGCGCACTGTAAGACTAAAGGAGCACCTGACCACTGTCACAGATTCTCTGTGTAGTACGTATGTCACCACCATATTTCAACCCAGTCTCACGGCATTTCGTGTTATAGTCACAAAATTCATCTATTGATTTGTGTTCACCAACACGATGTCCCCATTTTTTTTCGTGTCACACAGAACGATTTTAAAAGCAATGTAAATAATAACAAATTAGAAGGGAAAAAAGATTTAAAAAAATACAGATTTCAGTATTCTGACACAGAACGATTTTAGAAGCAATGTATTTCTATAGTATGTTTCGTGCCTGCACCAAATAATAACAGATTAGAAGGAAAAAAAGATTTAAAAAATACAGATTTCAGTATTCTGAGGCTCTGAGCCCCATTTATTTTCCTCGTGGACGGCAAAAAAAGTCAAACATTATACAATTTAAAATAAAAACAATAATCGTGATTTGATATTGAGTAAGAAAATGTTTTTATGAACCACAAAGCTTCTGGTCTTCCAAGACCCGACCGGACAAAAAGACGTGGTGCAGGCACGAAACACACTACCTATAGAAATACAATCGTGTTGGTGAACACGAATCAATAGATTACATTTATTTCGTGACTATTAAACGAAATGCCGTGAGACTGGGTTGCATATTTCCATACTTTTAATATATGTTAAGGAATATGTAAGGAAGTTTTGCACCATAAAAAGTATCTGCACTAAAGATGTGGGATTGTGAGAGCCTGTTGAAGTTTGATTTATTTTATGTCTATACAACTTTATTTAAGTTTTCAAATTATTTTTTTAAATTAGAAAGCACAAAGTCATAGGCTGGGTTAGTTACTATTCATACACTCTTTACTTCCCCTACTTATTTTTTTTTTTTTTATCTTGATTTGTCTCTTTCTTTTAGAAGTCCCTACAATTGTAATTTTCCAAAGTTTTGTCGCAGGAGTCCTAGCAACAACTCTCTCCATTATCTTAGCTGCAGCAGTGTTGCACACATACTGGCAGATTTCCAGGAGCTATTTTGGACGAGTACTGGTGAAGCAAAGACTGACACAATTGAACAGTTAGCAGCCCTCTCAGAGACACGGCTATGCATTGTTCAGTCCTGTGTTTACTACACATACACAGTCCTACACACATCACAGCTGGCACTAAGGGCCTGAAGTTTAACTGTCAGACGGTTTAGGTTTCACTGCAGTCTTCAGAACTACAGTACATGGCGTCGCTGGTTTGTCAGGTGAGACATTAAGAGAATCTCAGCTGGTATTATGGGGTATTGTTTTCAGGAATTCACATAATAGAAATAGCAGTGTTAGCCTTCAATCTTTAGGTGCGATTTCTCTGTCTTAGCTTTCCAACGGATGATGTTTGAACTTCTGCCAAGACTACCAACCAATCACTCCCAAAAAAAGCAACTCAAACAATGTTTTGTTGTGTGAAAGAGATGTTTTGTGTATAGCTGACCTTCTCTCAACATGCCCACAGACAGACATTTCACGAATCGACAGGCCTGGCAGGATTTCCTTCTTCTCTTGGTGATTTCACATTCATTGGACGCTGGGCAGCTGTATTCAATGTTACCTGGAGGAGAAGAAGAGAGATAGATAAATACAAAATATATACTTTTTTGGAAATTGCATTGGAGTAATAATGAATCATAGTTGTTGATTAAGTTCTGACAATATTCTCATAATGAGATTCACAATCCTCTTTTCAAAAGCTGAAAATGTGTCACCGCAGGAGATTTTAAAGGAGTCCTGCAGCTATTTATTGTTGTACTTTTATAACGTTAGGGGAGTCAGTCAAACTGTCAGACTTGAACAAATTCCTGCCAAGCTGAGGAGGACATACAACTGTTTCACAGGCTGGGTGGGAAACTAGTGCATCTTCAAATTATTGAGAAAAACATTAAGTCTTGTGGTTTCTAAAACACTTTTAAAAGCACATCGTTCAAAATGTTGACTTTCAATCTCAATCACATACAAAAACACATGGTCCCAACAACTAATTAAGAGTAACAGAAATGGCAGCCAAAAGTGTGGGTTAAGCCTGATGGCTTTTAGCCAGTTGCAGGCGCTCTCAGCTGCCACCCTCGATCAGAAACAGGAAGTATCTGATGAGCCAGACATCACCAGTTGATCCGACAGCCGTTCATCCGGTTTGCCCTATGAACTCATTTACAGTAGCCAACTTCTAGGCCTAAACACATCGCAGTCTGCCGAGTCCTCGACCTGGGCTGCGAGCCCGCAGATCACAGGACACTCCTTTTAATAAACCCACACTGCATGCCGCTACCACTAATGGCTTTCAGGATGCGCGCACATTCAACCCCATATGTTATCTCAAGCTGCAAAGCCTAAACTCAAACATGTTGACTATATACATGATGCACTGGAAGTTTAACCACACATTGGCTGTTTGCAAACAGGTCTTTATTTAAAGCCTCTCTGCAGTTAAAGGCAGGGGGCGGAAGCTGTGAGCTAACTGATGAGGTTTGTTTATCCCAAAACAAATGAGTGCATCTGCACCATGTTGCTAGTAAAACAAGTTCATCATGATGCAGGAAGACATTATAAGCAATACACAATAAACTCTGTAACTAATATCCTTTTTCCACTAAAATTAGCACGTATATGCGGGTGTATTAAACACAGTGAAACCTGCTAAAAATAGCCAATAAACTTCACCTTGCCAGGAGACAAGTATGGCTTTCTGTTTTTTCCTTCTTCTTTCTTTCTGTTGTCCCTTTCGACGTCATGGACATGCCAGAAAGCAAGGTTGGTAAAAAGTGCAAAATACTACGGTGGTTACTTTGTTTTTAGATACCTGTTATTATTCAGTCTTTCGTTAGAAGAGTAGAAAAGACAATCAAGTAGTTGTTGGTAGTATATTTTTAGCCAATGGGAAATTTATATAAACAAGCGTTAAAAACATGCATCTTAAAATAATGTATTTGTTGTATTTTCTCTCTCTTACCCTGGATGGTCCTCTTGAAAAAGGCCTTGCAGGCTTCACAGGAGGCCACACCATAGTGGTAGCCCGAGGCAACGTCACCGCACACCAGACACACACGCTTGGCCACCGAGCCCAGCATGAATTCACACTTCACTTGGGTTTCCTCTTGAACAAACCTCCTGGATAGAGGTGGAGAGGAAGTGAAGGGGTCAAGTGTGTAATATTCATAGTACCTCTATTCAAACGAGAAAGGACAGTTTAAAGCAGACACCAACCTGTTTGCTCCTCCATTGTTGGCCAACCCTGCTGTGTGACCATAGAGGCTTGGTGAGTCCAGCCCACTGATGAGGTTGTGGCCTTTGATCAGGGCTCCGTAGCTGGAGTTTGTGTCCGAGGAAGTGCTTCCAGGACTGGGCTGGGGCGGGCTGACGTCGCCCTGAGAGCTGGGGCTGGGGCTGGAGGGCTCACGCTTTATAGTGGGGGGACAGATGGGGTCCAAGCCCCTCACTGACATCCTGCCAAAATGTCTGGAAAGAGGAGGGCAGAGAAGGAACAATTGGAGAATTGTTAAATTATGGTATAAATGATCATATATGCATCACCAGAGAAGGTATGTCTCAGTTTGGTTTTCGGTAGGATTACGGAAAAACTACTGACCTGGTGTTCATGAAATTTGGTGAAAGGGTAAAGCATAAGTCAAGGAAGAACCCATAACATTTTAGAAAAGATCTGATTCACAGGGCTTACACATCCATCAATCTTTACATTTGTTAGCATTTAGCCTAGCTGGTTGCGCTCTCTGAGTACCCTTCCAGTTCTCTCTCAAGTCACCCTTATATCATGATTCACCTTTGTATTGTTATAAATATTAATAACTGGCTATTATAAAGTCAGGCATCATTAAGACAGACAATAAAAAAATCATCACTTTTAAAAAAACATCACTATTAATCTATGGATTGATGTATTTTGAAACCCCAAACAAACTAAAAAGCTACAAAATTACACCTTTTTTTTCCCAGATGCTTTTACAATCTCTACCTCTCCATCTCCACGCCCCTTCATTCATGCGTCCATCCATCTCAGCCCCTATCTAAGCCAGCCGTTTGTGATTCCCCACACATGCAAAGCTGCTGTCCATTACACTGCTTTGTTTTCAAAGAGGGAGGTTGCTTAAGTAAACGTAGGGAAATAGCCAAACCAGAAATCATCCGCTTCATCATCATAACCATCCAAATGCGGCCAACTTCTTTGCTTTATTATTTTATCTTTCTCTCTCATAGTGTCTCTCAGTTACTAATCACTCTAAAGGTCAACATTAAAAATAATCCATTGAACGAGAAATGAACACATGCTTTGAAATTATATAACTAAGATAGAAGTCCAAGTGTAAGTCCATTTTATGGGGTGTTGAGCATGGACAGGCAACCCCCAAATTAATACAAATTAAAATACATCATACTGTGCTTTTTCAATTCATATATATCTGATTATTTTTCTAATGACAAAAATATACATGCCTTTAGAGACCTAGCATTCTAAAACAAATACTATTTTTAGAAGAACTATGCCTGCATGTTAAAGTGTGTATCATGGCTTTATTATTGGATCGAGATGTGACCACAACAGACTCTCTGTCACCACGACGAGGAGAAAAAAGCATCTGAAACCAGCTGAGGTGTACAATAGGCTCACAGGCATGTGAACTGCGCTCCCACACACACACTGAATACACACACACACACATTGTGGCGTCAGGCGTTCGCGTGTGCATGTAAAAATAAAAATCATAGACGGGCTCCCACTTCTCTACACACACTTCAGATTCATGTGATCAGGAACATGTTAAAGCTCCATGCACACACTCACACATACACACAGTCACATGTTAAAGCAAGTGTCTTCATAAACACCCTGACACGTTACTGGTATGCAACTGTTTGTCGCCAGGCCAACTTTTAAAAAGACCAATGCCGTCTCACACACTTCCACATGCAGAGAAAACCACACACACAGCTGTACATCCCTCTCACTCTAATCTGGGCCCGATGAGGTGGAAGACCATCTCAGTCTGTTTCCTGCCATGTAAATCAGTGTTCGCTCGGCCGCAAGTCATTTGCTAGGCAAAAAGACTGGCTGCGATTAACCACCTCCAGAGTAAACCATGGGCACGCGCTATTGACCCCTCTACAAACCCACAAGAGACACACTGACAACAAGTGAAAACACCAAAGGAGCTAACAGTAGGTGTTTCTACAGTAAAAAATAAGCAAATGTGGCAACACAACATACAGTCAATGCAATGTAATCTTGGCATCTGCTATCTGAAATGGGTGATCAAATTAACATTTGTGTTTTCACCAGTGTTGGGCAGTGCATAATCTATCCCCTAACATAAGGTTTTTATGGCGTACATTTTGGAAAACATATACATTTTTACTCAGCAGACACGTAGCAACTATAGCTTCTATTTTGATTTGCTGTGATTGGCGCAGTGATGTACGTTGTAGTGTCACTTAAATCATCCTCAATAAGAGCAGTCAGAGTGAATCAGAATCTTAAAGTTGTTTAACCAAAAGGTGGAGGTAATAATTCACAGTGGGGTTTCCACACTACACCAAGTTATTTGTTGATGCAAAAATATCCATCAGTGCAGTCGATAAAGTAGCCAAACATTGTATTATGTTTCAATCAGAACTGAGATTCAATGCATTCACTACCCGAATTGAAACTTTCCCAACACTTACCAAACTCTTTTCTTAAGGTTAGTAAGTAAACTCAATAAGAAATAAACAAGACATTTTAACAGCCCCCCTCCCCCGTTGACATCTCTCACCCAATCCACTTTGACGACTATAAAAACAGTACAGTGACGAGATTTCAGTTTGCTTTTAAAGTGACTCACTGGTTTACTTATTGGCTATCAATCACAGGCGTCCATATTGCTGTGTCAAGTCTCTGACAGATGCAGAGTGAGATATACTTTGTGCTCCCCCATTATAATGCATCTCAGGGAGAAGGAGGAGAAGGAGGAGGGGGGGAGGTGCTGTTGTTTTACTTTTATAATGAAATGGCATTAGAGTTGGGCAATCAGATGTGATGTAATATTCACTTTGACAGATCACTAAAGTACCGCTCCTAATAAAAGCCCATCAATAGACGTTTGGTAGCTGCTTCTACAGCGGCATGCAGCGGGGATAAATCAGAGTGTGTGTGTGTGTGCGTGTGCGTGTGCGTGTGCGTGTGCGTGTGCGTGTGTGTGTGTGTGTGTGTGCGCGTATCTGTATTCAAAGTTATCGTACCTTTCTACCCCTTTGTGTCCCGGTATCCAAAACAACTCTAATGGCACCTTGGCAACAAAGACGAATAATTCAGCGTGAAACGACAAGGAGACAGAAAGGGAGAAGAAGAAGAGAGGCGGGAGGAAATGACAAGAGAGTCAGACAGATAGAGGGAGTGTGAAAAAAAAAGCCAGGAAGGGACAGAAAGAAAGGGGTTGTGCCTGTGGCTCATTAACCTGGGGGTGTTGAAAGAAAAGAGAGACGGCAACACTCACTTTCAAATGAGCAGAGTCATAATGCAGACAATGACCCAGCGGATGAAGGAGAGGAGGGAGAGAGAAGAAAACAGGGAGGGAAGGGAAACACAGGGAAAAAAGGAAGGGAAGTGACCAAGAGATGTAATGAAAATGAAGGCGAAACAGGCCTTGGGGAAGCGAAAATGCGATGCTTCAACAAGAAACACAAATACTGACTGACCCTTAGCCCTAACAACAACCCTGAGGAGTATTTATTTAGGTCAGTGGGGTCTCAGTAGTGTCTTTTTTGTGTGCTAATGAGCCAGTAGGAGATGAGCAGGGATCAGTGGCACCCCAAGCCAGCCGTAAGAGCCTTAGTCAGGCTTTGGCGAAGCTGTTAGCAGCGAGATGAGGTGTCTGTGGCTGCAGCCTGGCACCCGCAGGCTCTGGAAACATGGATAGCGTGCCATACAGGCGATCATCTGCGGCCATCGCTGCCTTTTTTTACCATTCTTCATCTGGTTTTCTGTCACCAGCAATCAGCCGACCTGTACGTCCATTTGTCAGCCTCGCCGTCTGTCTGCAAAGCTCATCTTTCTCTGCTATAGGGAAGCCTCAGTGCTGGATGTTTTCTCAGAGCCAGAGTGATTATGCCACAGCTGATAACATCGCAGCGGTGATGATAATGAACATGATTTTTTATGATTACAGAAATGTAAGGCAATCAAAAAGCTGTCCCGGGTAATCAGGCAGCTGCTTCGCACATTTCTTTACAGGCTTTCTGCTGCTTTCTGAAGACTTTTACTAGCCTTGGATGTCCCGGGGTGTCTCAAACTGGTCTTCACCACCTCCCTCACTATAAACAAACAAACAGGCTGAACAATGACAACTGTTAGCATGCAAACAAACCTCCACACCAGCCAGGAAATACTCATTGAAACCTTCCCAAAGCACAAAGACGCTTAAGCTTACTCAAGAAAATCAATTCAGCAAGTTTAGGATCTTACAAATAGTTTGGGAGATTTTTTGACCAAAATGCCAAACTCTCTGAATTTCCACATACTAAATATTGGGGTTTGGACCATTATCACCACAAAACAAGGAATTCTTAAGAATTTCGAAAAATAAATGATGAGCGTTTATTACTATTTTACAGACAACACATGCACAGAGAAAATAGCTGTCTGATTAAATAAATGTAGGCCTTAAACTGGTAAGGTACAACTGGTAGGCCTTAAACTGGTAATGAATGGCAAACGTGTACGCCATGTTAATTCAAAGGAAGATATAAACGTAAGGATGATTTTAAATGTTCATGGCCTCAAAAAGAAACACTGACATAGTAAATTGTAGTAATTGTAAAAACAAATATTGTAAAAAAGCAAGTCAACGGTTGTTCCCTAAAGTGGAGGAAAATTGAAAATGCTGTAGTAAAATACCATACGTTTACCACTCGTATTATCCCTTCTCCGTTAGACTGGATTTTCTTGAGTGTGATGGACCCTAATTCTCACAATTCAACACTGTGTGCTAAGTAATTCATACTTAAAATACACAGACGAAGGAAACTGACTAAAGCATCGAAATCAACTTGAAAATCAAAGGCACACAGCTCGTGATACCTGGGCAGCACACACAGTAAAGTAATAAATGAGATACACAAGCAAAAAGACACTTTTGAATATCAAACACCCACACACAAAAACACAATGTCCCAACATTCATACCTTATCTCTACAATTCTAGTTCAGTTTGCTAATACACATTGTTCCTTTTAAGACACACTTTATGCTCGCTGTGCAGGGTGGAGGTACTTACTCTGTGTCAGAGTGGTAGGTGAAACACTCTGGGAGGTAGAGGTCGACTAAATCCATGTGCACTCTGCAACCATGCTCTGTAGGGAGAAAAGTGAATATCTGTTTCCCTGCTCTCCTTCTCTGTATCTCGTCCTGTGTTCTATAAGCTGTATGTCTCAGTGCACCGTTTGTCACTTTCTCTTTGCTATGTCTCAAAACTTTGCCTCCATCTACTGCCCTCTCTTCTGTGGTATCACACCTCAGCTGCTCTTATTGTCCTCGCTCGTGTGTGTCTTCCTGTCACTCACACTCACACACACTCTGGCTGCCTTTGAAGTCCTGGCTGTTGTGACTAGCTGGCTGTGTGTGACAAGGGTCTCCAGGCTGAAGCTGGCCCTCATGAATCCTCAGCCACACACATTTGAATGGCCTTCCCCCAGCAAGCTAGGCTGGCAGCTGATTGGCTGTCCTCTGAGCCAATGAGAGCCATCCTCTCACTGGGGCAGGTGGAGATGACAACAGAGGATGTTTTAGGTTTTAATTCTTAGAAAGAACCCTTATATATACAGTCTATGGAAAGAACTTTATATGTCGATGTGAAAATCCCCAAATGCGTTAAGAGTTAAAGGATCTTTGCAGTGTTTGTGTTACTATTTGTATTGAACAATTCATTAAACCTCAGTGAATGTTATTCCATAAACTGAATTGTGATAAAAGAAACACTACTAGAAATATGTTTTTAACTGTTAAATTAGATCAAATGAATAGGTAGACACCTTGAATATATATATCTACTTAATAATGTCAATTATAGGAATTCATTAAGGGTAAAACATCTGTTTGCTGCTTCTTAAATGTGAAAACAGGCGGCTATATCTTTCTCTGATTTTGTATTATTTAAATTAAATATCATTGGGTTTCTGATTACATTTTAATATGTGCAACATATCTAAAACAAACTTCTAAAATATTGGCTTTTCGTCTCTGACTTTAATTCACTTAAATAATTATAATCTTTGTAATTCATTTGTTATTTTAATGACAGTGTTTAACAGTATTCAATTGTCCTTTAAGAATGTGTTTCTTTTTCTTGTTGGTTTTAATGTTTAATGTAAAGTGCTTTAAATTGCCTTGTTGCTGAAAAGTGCTTTATTAGTAAACTTGCCTCTTTGGTTGGATCAAACAAGCATCAAATGAACTGATAAAGATTCAGCTGATAAAGACCCACTATTCAGATAAATAAAAACATCTCTCATACAAAACTCAGATACATATATAATCCCATAATGCTGGATATAAACTGGATAATTACCTGGAAAATCACCTATTTTAGTGTCAAAGTCACTGCTTAAATGAAATAAGATTCTTCCCACACAGATATGAATGAACATATGGTCACAGTTTGTAACCTTAGCTGACTTACTGCTGGTGCAGTACTTGATCTATCTGATCTAATCAGCAATGGCTATGTGCCTAACGTGATACGTTTTGCCTTTTGCTGCCACCACACACGTGCACACAAATTGAGAACACTACTTAATTTACTGTGCGTAAGTAGCACTTGGCATTGCAAAAGGTTAGCAGGTGCAATCCAATCTGCAAATTTCAGTTACAGTATCCTATGAAGTTTCCAAACGAAGTTCTCCGAATTCATATGAAGTGCTGATTTAACTTCTACAATTTGATCCAAGATGGATCAACAAGAATCCCGCAAGCATAAGAAAATACTTTGAATACTAACAATAATTAAACAGTAATTAAGTTAATCACCACTAACGTATATTCTCAGTTCTCCCATAAGAATGAAGTTGCAGTAAGTAGCTTGGGGTTAGATGCAGCCTGTTGTCACTACGCCCTAATCCACTTACAGCAGATGCACAGGTAAACCCATGTCAACAAAAATCCCTTTTAATGCAGAACGTGCAAACTTTTATTGTGTTTTGCAGTTTGCACAGATACACACTGCCCCAGCCTTGTTGAAGAAGACATGGGTCAAATTCAAATCATGGTGGTAAACCCTGAGGTCCTGAGGTAGGCCTAGCTGTGGATGCTTGCCATGGAGCATTGAATACATTATGCAGTAAAAAGTGGAGTGCATAAAACATATCTGAACTAATATATAACGATAAGATGATACAGCAATGAAGTATTCTTCATCAATGTGCAAGCACAGGAACAGTTTTCACTATTCAAAACCAGTAAATACCACACATTTTCCACAAACTATTTAAAGTTCAATTATTTGACTTCTTCATTCAAAAACGTGTCTTTAGGTTGATGGAACAATACTCCCCCAATTAATATAGTGTTAACTAATAGCATTAAAAACGCACAGATGTCAAAGGGAGTTTGGGACACATACAATTTATAATTTCTGCTCTTTTCTTTGGTTTCGGCCTGTCTTTTCCCCTCTCCCTACATGACGTTGGGCTCGTGCTCCAACCTGACCCCTGCCTAACCAACCTCCACAGGAATGAAATCACCTGCGCTAATCTGCTGCTCAGATAAAGGCCAGACAGCAGACTGCATGGAGTGGTCCTTATCTTATTACGCACCACATGAAACAGATCGGCAACAGAAATACAGCAGCCACATACACAGGCATTTAACTTGTGTAAACAAACACACGATCGCAACACACGCAAACATAAAGGAAGGAACATTAATAAAATCCCCCTAAAAGATAGAGAGAGTGTGATTTCTAATGGTACATACATTTATCTCAACCATAAAATACAAAAAGCCAGACACTTAGATACTATCATATCAAATCTCTTAAAGTTAATGTATCACATAAAACACTATCTACACTGAGAAATTATCTTTTATAAACCATTTAGGAAATGAATGTTGGCGTTCAAGTGAAGTGGTTCTTATCTCTCAGTGGCTTTTAGCTTGGCAGCTGCCGTCAATGGACTCTTATTTGCTCCAAAAAGCGGAGGGGCTTTTCACATATTCAGGTTGAAATCAAAACTTGAGATTGCTCATTTTATCAATGCTTGATGTTATCCTTGGCACCGGTCGAGTGGTCTCGAGACGTACCACAACAATAAGGCACACTTAAACCAAGCCAGAGTGGCGTCGAGCAAGCCACTTGACCCGAACACACCTGAGTAGTTTATTTTTTCTGATAATCTATTGGTTACTGTGTACCACTGTACAAAAGCTTTTTGTTTCACTTCAAATGGCTCTATGTCAAAGGTTGATGTTCTTTAAGGTAATGTAAATACAAAATGTACAACAGAACAAAAGTTGCACTCACTAAAGTTAATCTGTTGATTGAATAATTATCATCAAAGAAGTTGTGGCTACTTTGTGTTTACTACTAATTAGCAAATGCTAGCATGCTAACACGCTAAACCAGCATGGTGCACATGGTAAAGATATACCAGAGATCAGTTTATTTTGGAACTGGATCCATCCTAAAATCGATTTATGGTTGTCAAAAATAAAAAGGAATTTATTTCTTTATCATTTTATATTTGAGTGAATATTTAGTTTTATTTTTAAATATCAAAATCAGTAAGGAGGAGTTTTAGAGTATCTGTAACAAATGTAAACCTTCTGCTGGATGTCAAAAACAAATGTAGTTAACAAATATAAAAGGACTAAAGGGCTGTTTAAACAATTCAGATGGAATAGAAAACCTAAAGGGCTTGTAAAAAACATCTCAACAAAAACCACAGAGCACAAATGACAGGTAAACTGAGCAAAGAGGACATTGACATGAACCAAAGCAAAATCCTGAAATAATAAGAAACGGAAACGAGCTCAATGCAGCAAATGAAATTGAACACGCATGGCTGCATCAAAATATACTTTTTTTTTTTACACTGCTGAGTTTAAACCGAAGACAGGAGTTCAATAGCTGATCCGAAGGGACGCTGCCTGTAACAGAGCGCCCAGCTGCCAGCTATTGACCACATGATTCCTTTTCTCTGAAGAAAAGGAAAAGTACCAGTGAAGCAGACACCCTTTGTTTGTGTGTGTGTGTGTGTGTGTGTGTGTGTGTGTGTGTGTGTGTGTGTGTGTGTGTGTGTGTTCATCACTTTCTACTCATGCCTAAACTCACACCCACCAAAAATCTGCCCCTGGGGACGGCTGTCGGATTGACTTCCAAAACTGGACAGTCACTCTGCAACTCCAACCCCCACCTCACACACACACACACACACACACACACACACACACACACACACACACACACACACACACACACACACACACACACACACACACACACACACACACACACACACACACATTAGCATCACCCCTCAGCTCTAGTGAGTGTAATCTGCTTAGTTTATGCCTGACTCACAGTCATCCATCAATTACTGAGACAGAGGGAAAGACTATTGACACTGTGGGCAAACACCACTGTCTCGCCGCAGCGACACAGTACCTCGCAGACACTTCAATGGTTTACAAAAGGAGTGGTGGAGGAAGTAAAAGTAAAGAAAAGGAAGAAAGTGGAGCTGAAACTAAGATGGGGAAACAAGATAGAGAGAAATATGATATAGAAATGGAATATCTGTGTTCTTTATGCATGGTATCTTTAAATAGATGAATGGGAGGGAAGTGATACATTAAATGATGTATTGAGAGACAGATTGGAAAAGGATCAGTTTCATTTTATTGATCTGGAGCGCACTGTAAAGGGATCAGAGGTCACACACACACACACACACACACAGGCATCCATAACAGAAACCTTAGTAAGCCTAAGGGAGATGCTTAAAGCTACGTAACCATAGAAATGTCACTTAGAGCTACTGGGACCTGCTGCCGCTATCCTCACAGGGTCAATGGTCTTTAAATGCTTTTCACTTATCAGGCCATCCTACAGTCCCACTGGGGAGGAAGTGAGTCAGCGCTAGGAAACATATATGCACAGGAAGGCATTCGGTCATACAGGATTTCATTGGGGCTAATTTGGGATCATTGTATGAGTATTTGACACCACATGCACAGAGAAATATTGAAGAATCTCAGGATCTTAAAGGTGGTTTACATACCCTTATAATAACTTGGCTGGACTGCCTCCTAGTGGACATATTTATTTTACATTTGCAGCAGCTATATACAGTCTATGCTATACACAACTAACCACAAGGGTGATAAGGTCAAATTATTTTATAAGCAATAAAAAGCAATTAAAACTGTGGTTTAATTTGAAATGATGGTGCGCCAATCCGTAGAACTAGCCTAAATCTGAAATATTTAGTTTTTCTTTAAACACTTTTAAACCTAGATTTAATTATGTTGCCATTAAATTAAATTAAACTCCAGCTTTTTAATACTTTCAGCATTAACTTAAAACTTTCACTTGAGGAAGTTTAACTTTTAAAATGGCTGCCTTTAAGAGATGTGTACAAAATATTCAAGTTTGACCTTTCACTCCAGTTGATCTGTTATAACTGACACCCAGTTGCTAACTGGTAGTCTTTTTTCCCTTAATGTTCTGTTCTGTTCTTTTTTTCTCTTCTATTTTTGGGCTATATTGCCTTAACAATGTGTCAAACACACATTTATTAATTCATTTAGGAAAGTAACCATCCCTGAGATTTCCCCTGAGATTAGTTTTTCAGTGTACACAGAGCTCTGTTTAATTTAAAATCTAGATGTACTAATTGTATACCTAGTAATGTGGATTACTGCAGCTTCATTATCTTAACAATCTCTATTGGTTTAACAGGTGTGCTTCCTGTGTCCAGTTTATAGGCATTTATCACTCGACTCGTCATAGTAGGAAAAGCACAGGTGATACTATCACTAACGATGGCTCTGATTTATTCAGGTGTCATCAACACAGCTAAAGCTGCTAGCCATGGTTCATTTGATTAAATACACGGTATCTTCCTAAGTAAAAATGTAATTTGTAAAAAAGGTCTAAATGCCTTTATTTATATTGGAGTATTTTACATTGTATTTTACTTAAAAAGGGGAAAAAAATGGACATTTAACTTTTACAGAGGTGGTTCATTCACATTCTTTTTTAGTTATCCCCCATTTATAAACACACACACCTGGTTCCCAGAACCGTCTCAGGTGAGGAGCCACCGGTGCGGGCCCAACACACACATACAATCCTCGGAGTCAGCATCACACACCTACTGCTGATGTCAGGGACTATTATACGCACTTTCACATAGCCACACTCACACAAACCAGCAGTCTATCTCATCATATCACTTTTATCTCCACAGGTGGCAAATTTAGCCCTCTGTCTCCCTGTCAGCATGTCTACACTAAACAAATCAACACAGACATACATGGAGACTAAAAGAGCTTCCTTGTCATGAAGGTAAAAAAAAAAAGACTACCACAGCTTTATGTTTTTTCGCCTGCTGGCTTTCTATCTCCCTTTGTATCTAGAGCCAGCCTCTCCAACACATTCTGTCCGCAGCTCCACAGGTGAGCCAGTCTCACCCCACGACACCACCAATAATCTTCCTCTGATTCCATCACATCCTTCCCTTCTTCCTTCTAATCCTCCACCATCTCTGTCCTCCATCATCTGATCATACAGATGCACCCATGAGGGCACTGCTGGGATATCCTTACACTCCAGGCAAAAATGTAACGCCAGGCCCATAATTGCCTCATGACCCCCCCCCCCCCGCCTTCACCCGACACCACCCTTCTCCAGGCTTTCGGGGTCCTCTTCTCAGTAAACCCCACCTTCTGGTCATCCTTCAGCCCTGCTCAACACAGTCCACTGGTTCCTGGCAATGGCGAAGGAACAGCAGTCAAAATGTAATTTTCTGCAAGATTACACATGATAATGACTCGTTTTGGAGGGTCTCCATAAATGATGACTTCCAATTATAGATGCAGAACTAATATCGATCGGTCAACAGAAGCGGCGAAGAAGAGGAGCTGTACAGTAATGTTGTGTTTACTGACATCTTTCTTGACGACACACAAACACTGATGTAGACAAACTGCAACTGAACTGATTACAAAGTCGTACAGAGGCTGAACAGCAAGTATTGATGGGAGCCAATAAGAAGCCTGAGAGATGAGTTCACCTGGGAACACAGTAGACCTTCACCTGGTCGGACACACACACACACACACACCTCTGTTTCCATTCAAACACCCCACTGGACTGTTACTAAGCAGACAGTAAGAAAATCACATTAGCTGTAATTAAAAGAAGCATTCATTCACTTCTTCACCATCCGCTCATCTTACTGCACTTACTGTCAGTTTCATCCACCGGCTGGTCCTCCGCTCTACAGCTGCAGTCAGTCAGTCAGTCTCAAGGACAAACGCTCTCCTCGCCTCCGGTCTCTGTAGCTCAGCGATGCAGCAGCACACACACACACACACACATACATACATAAACACACGTTCCCTCTCTTTCTCTCCTCTCACTCTCATCCAGTGCCGAGTTTTACCTAGCCGGCTCACAGGGGCGTCCTGAGAGAGTGTGTCAGACAGAAAGTGTGTCTAAGAGGAAAGGGGTGGCGTGGGGGGGGGGGGGGCAGCCAGCGTTCCCTTATATGCAGAGGGGAGGTGGTGAGTAGAGGGGAGGGTAGAGGACACACAGCACTCCTGTATTCCCATAGATACAGAGGAGGGATTTCTATTGCAGCCTTGCAAAGATGGGAGAGAGGGAGAGAGGGAGAGAGGAAGAGAGGGAGGGAGACGGAGAGAGCATCATATTTCAGCGATGTTGAGTCAGCATGTGAATGTGATGCATGTGTTGATAGCAGTTGGGAATATTTAGAGGGCATGTGTTCTTATGGGCACCTATGGATTAGACAAGTACCCATTACAAAACTAATTTCAAACAATAAAAACAGTCCCTGATGCAGCTGTATACAATTAGTTTTTAAAGGGGATATATTATGAAAAACGTGCTTTTCAGTGCTTGAGCGCATACATTTGTGTATCTGGAGTGATAACCAAGCAGCAAACTATAAAATAAGACAGCCCAGTCGGTTTTTTGTGGGATCCTAAATCATAAAATATGGGATTTAACAAGCCGTTCAGGTTTGGCTCCACCTCTGATGTTATGCAGGCATATTAGAATATATACTGTCACACATCCATCTTCACCTCTGGCTTTGGAACTACATACTTTATGTAAAGGTGTGCAGGTTTTTCTGGCGAGCCAATCAGCTTAAAGAGACAGGCTCTAAAACAGAGCGTTTCACACCGAGGGTGAATACAGCTATATTCAAACAGACAGCATGCAGAAGAAGAAAAAAGTGTTCTAGTAGAAACCCAAATACATGTTCTAGTAGAAACCCAAATACAATTATGAAACTAAAACATAAGCATGATATGTCCCCTTTAAAAACAATGTACTGGCGGATAAAGGTTATTTTTGGGATATCAGTATAGGCGTAAATGTTGGATAGCAAGAAACAGTACAGTACAGAAATGCTGAATATTCATGTATGACACTATTTTAGAATGAGTCTGCATTTCATATGTTGTCCATCGCAGAGCACTGACAAGCTAATTTGTCTGTAATATGTATCTTTCAGCTCAATTATTGAATGAATAGATTGAAAAGGAGGGGTTCAACGTTGCAAAATGTGCTTGTTTGCTCTCTTCCAAAAAGTTTGATATCAGTATGTCCATTCAACATTAGGCAAGGGTCAACCCTTTTAGCTTAGCTTAGCATAAAAACTGGAAACAGAATTTTCGAAAATTTCACGTTATTCCTAAAAAAAGGTGTTTATCCTTGTTATTTGTAAATATTAAAAAATATATATATATCTGGCCAAATGTAATTATTGGATGTCCTGAACTCGCAAAACAACGTGTCATTATATTGGCTTTGAGTTTCTGAGATATTTGTTTCTGTCACTGACATCTCAAGAACATCCACCTGGTGCCCAAAACAAACATTAAAAAGGAGACAAATATTGATACAGCTTGAACACAACTTCTTTCTCATTTTTTAATTCATAATTTCATTTATTTTTCTAGACTTGCACTGACAATCATTTCCAAATTGGTATTGGACAATCTATGGTCGCAGGCAAGCTAAATGAACACAGGAAACAATATCACAGTTAGGTCAATGACAAAGGGTCTAAAATAAAGTTTTAAAAGAAATGTCATTTAAAAAGGTCCTGCACCGTCACACAGGTGTTTTCACTTATCTCTAAGTAGACCTAGATCTAATCAGGCAAAGTGAAACACCTGTGAAAGGTATGAATGCACTTTCAAAAACACAGCCAATGACAGCAAGTCTTAGATTTTTTTCCCGGGGGAATTTCCAAAACTGTATGGAGACGCTGGAATTGCTGTAACCAGAGAATCATATATTTGTCATACAGTGTGTGTAAAGTCATTGAGTATGGCTATGGGAGGCTAAATCCTGCAGTCTGCAGTACAGTCAAGCGAGCATTGGCACAACTTAACCTAGCGTATTTTCTTAGTTAAACAAACCTGCAGCACATGCATACATGGATATGCTCAATGAAAGGAACATAAATGATTGGTTTGGTTTCATTGTTTGTTTGTTTTTGGATGGATGAAAACATTCTCATGGCACGACTTCTTCCATGAAATTGATGGGGAAAAGTAGTGTACCCTTACTTCATTACCTTAAAAAATGAACCTAAAATGAATCTTGAGGTATTTCTCCGAGTCCAAAATCATGTCAGACGAAACCATTTATCGTTATTGAATTGATACCACCAGTGTTTCCCCTACCATTGTCTTGGAGGGGTGCTGCGCCCCGCCAACGGAGCCCCGCGAACGGAGCCCCGCGAACGGAGCCCTGCGCCCCCCCTGAAATTCAAAATATTTATATATATTTACACCCCCCCCAAAGCAGTAAACCTAGGGGAAACACTGTACCACTGAATGAAAACAAACCACACTGTCATCATTGGTTCAGTATCACACGCTAATGAGGCATCAATGTCATTTGATATCTCCAACATGGAGTTTTGTGAAAGGTCCCGTTGCATGAAGTCTTTTCTCCTGCTCCGTTTCAATCACCTCCACGTGTCTTCTCTCTATCTGTGTGGATGTGCCAGGCGTCTCGCGGTTTCCCCAATATGGGAAAGTTTGTCTCGACTGTTGCTAGGACCAGACTGATTCCTTTCCTACTTATGACTCACATGTCTGGGTTATTCTGGACTGTTTTTTTATCGTTCGTCGCCCTGAGCAGCATTTCCTCTCCCTCGCTCTCTGTTTCTCTCAGTGTCTTCTCCCAGCATCCTTCAGGTTCAGGATCCAGAATCCTCGGGTTCTCAGTTGAAGCCTAGGCCCGTTCCTTTGGGTCTCTGCGTGGCCCGGATGGGTTCGGTCATGCCCCTGCCCTCCGGACCCAGGCCCATCCCCGGGCTCCAGCCCATGCTCTGCATCATGCGGCTCCCCATGTTAGTGTCAGGGAGGGGGGGTGCATTCTCCCCCACCACTACTGAAAGGAGAAGTTACAGGTTAGAAAATAGGGAGTTATCGACATATCGTTTGTAGGTGTACATATCTAAAATAGAGTTCCTTTGACTGTTTTTGTTATTCTAAATGGGTCAGTTTTGTAGACATTGGCTCTGGTAACTTGATATAAGAAATGAGAGAAAAGACACTGATATATATCCAATTTCTTTCCAGTATATGAAAAACTACAGGACTCTTTTTTGGTAAATTCCATAACCGAAAGATATTCATACTGTTCTGTTTTTTTCTTCTGTTCCTACATTATTCCAGGGGCCTGTTCTGTTGTTGCAGACTGAATGTTCCTGTATAATAATTAACTCTGTATTCAAGAACATTTCAAACTCATCTTGTAGATTAGTCCTGGCAAAATAGAACTGTACCACTTTTCCTTTATGTATGGAGCAGCAAATGAGTATGACGTGTGGGTTAATTTGCTTCTCTTCACACGCACGACGAATGCGCACATCGCAAAGTGGATGCTGTAGCGTTGTGCCGTGCAGCCTTAATGGACACGTTAATTGATTAATGGAGATTCTGTCTGCCGTCTGGTACTGCCTCTAAATAAAAGCGCATGCATGTCTGTTTCCAAACAGACTAGTGGGTTTTGTCCCCGGCACTTCCTGGAAGTCCACTCTCCAGTGACAGAGGTCGACCCGTTAGCCCGTTTAATCCCGTCTTGATTTATGTGGAGCGCAGGTCAAAGCCGCATGCTCATTTACTCAGACGATGGTTGAGTGCCAAATTGTCAGGAAGTGAATTTGGCAGGACATCGCCGTTGCCCCCCCTGCTGCGAGTTTAGCGACCTGCTGTTCCTCAGACCTACATCCGGGTCTGGAGTGAGTACCAAGTGCTTTGGACGATCAAAATAAATATACAATACATGAAACTACAAGGTGTCACAAGCCAAATGATGCTTAAATAATAATACATGGATCAGACTCTATATGGGGGTTACATTTTAACAGCCTTTGCTATCTCTCCCTTCCTCCTCCAACTGGCCCAGAGGTAAAGAGAGTGGTTTGGGGGGAGGGGGAGGGGGAGTGGGGCCTGATGCACAAGTGTTACAGGCTAAGAGCTAATCCAGTATCTCTGCTCTGACAGCATGACTAGCCAGCTGACTCTTGTCCAACAAAGCTTAGGAGGAAAGGGGGTTAGGGGCAAAAGCGCGGTTTAATAATGAGAGAGGAGGAGAGGGAGCAACACGAAGGCTGAGGGACTCCCTTCTCTCTTTTTAAAGATGCGTAGTGAATCCCTCATTTTTCATCCCCGTCCCCTGTGTTTACATCAGTGTATGTGCGAGACAGAAGGCAACGAGGAAAGCAGGCTGGTGGACATACTGCGCTCAACCAAGAGGGGGAGGAGAAACAGGCGAGAGCCAAAAATACGAAAAAGAAAACGTGGTAAAAAAAAAAAGAAAAAAAGTGCCAGATGGTGCGTTAGGTGCTAGGTCCAATACCTGGGGGGGCGGTGGAACCGAGGGGGGCTGCTTTTCGCCTCCGCTTGACATCCCCTGTACACAGAGAGCCCAGGTGCCCGCTGGTCTGTCTGCAAAACCAGCCAAGCGAGACAAAAATATGTGGGCATTAGTTGAGCTCAAGTAACACAGTGGAAATTATTCTTCCTCATTTGAAGAAAAAAAAATACCCGTTGTGAAAACCAATGGGGAGTTATGTCGATGAGACTGCAGCAGAAACAAAAGGCAGGTACTAAAAAGGAAATTAGTTCTGCGTTTCGCTCATAAATCACTGACGTTTTTCTCAAGTGTTGTTCTCACCTGCTGGCTGTTTTCACCGAACAGCTTCTCCGATGCCCTCTGTCTGACCGAGAGTCCCAATGCAACTGGAGTGGCAGTAAGGAAAGGGAGGGGGGGTATTAAAGAGAATGCTCAAGCAGGTAATCCTTGCAATAAAACTAAGTAGTGCATTTAACAGCAACCACCAAGGACAATGCTATAGCACAAAATGTTAACTTTGGGGGGGAAAAAGAAACTCACCTGTCCGTGCTCTCTCCTGGAGCCCGAGCTGAACCAAGGCCTGTTGGAGATTTAATAATAATGTAATTGAGAGCCATCAAGGCTGCCTTCCACAGACCGAAACCAAACTGCTATTAATTATCTTGTCTTGTCGTAAGTGAACTGCTGGCCCTCGTCCATCACAGAAACGTTTAAAGAAACTTAAGAACCTTTAAAAACGTTATCTTGGGACAACCTTTGCCGTTTGCTTTTCTATTGTATTAATACTAATCTAAGATATTTAGTTTTTGTCTGGAAACCAAATTTGTGTCAAGGCCAATCAAATCTGAATTCTGCTACCTTTCTCAGCCTTAACTTCTTCTTTTTGTCATCATTTAAAATGCAACTCCTAGTGCTACAATCATTAGAGTAGTTTAAAAACAAAACCAATGAAAAACAAGTAGAAGAATACAAACTTTAAAAGCATATATGTAAAGTATAGAAGATGAGGACTCACTCGTGGGGGTCCTGGCTCTGTCTGCCCAGCCGGTCGTTGAAGCTCTGTCCGGAGCTGCCTGCCTGGGGTCTATGCTGGTTACTATGGAGACGGCTCAGCCTGGCATGGAACCCTGAAGAAGGCAGAGCAAGTCGTCAGCAACAAAACTCAGCATGTTCATTATTTTAAATGATAAATCAGTTTGATAATGTTCACAATTAAGTAAATCACAGTCCTTTGGGATACCTATATTTATATTTTAAAGGGCTGCAGGAGTTGGAAATAATTATTACTTGCAGTTATTTTAACAATAACCGCAAGTAGTAATTCAATGAAGTACTTTGCTCAGTAGATTTTCGTTAAGAATATGACTCTGATTTTGAAGCTATTTCAGTGAAACAATGCCGTTTTGAACATTTGACAGATTATTCTAGGTTATTTTAACTGGTATTGCAATTACAATATGAATTGTGATATCAGACATAGCGATATATGATCATTTTTGAAACATTTACAGGATGTGCAAGTCTATTGAATACCATTTGTAGGATAGGAGTTTTCTTCAGCTCCATGACACTTCTATCAGAATGAAAACTTGCATATTTTGCCATAATTCAAATTTGAAATCAAATGTCAATCAATTAAGCAGCCATACATCAGTACACAATACAGTGACCACAGAGAATGGACACTGGGATGTAAAACAAATGCCTTTTTTTTTTTTTATTGCTTATGATAGGAGATTTTGCTTTCTACATCTACTATACAACAACACTTTATTGGCAAACTGCTAAACATTGATTTGTGTTTGCCTCATACTCGTCATGAATGAGACTGCAACAATCAAATGTATGTAACTGTACCTAATCCAACCAAATCACTCCTGTTATCTACATATTAAAAGACATTTCATTATAGTTTGTCTGAGTTTCTTAAAAACGGGTTACCTTTCTGTCCTCCAGGCCCCATGAGGGGGAAGGACCCGGAGAGGATGCTGTTGAAGACGGGGTCAGTTAAGTCCAGCTCCTCTGAAGCCGTCTCCCTCTCCCACCAGGGGACCACCCCCGCTATCCCGCACGCCCCCCCGGGTGCTGAACCGGAGCCCGGCTCACCCTCAAAGAACCAGTCGCTCTGCTCGTCATCAGCTGGAAGAGAGACCAACATGTGACCATGGTTTTTATAAAAAAGAAAAAAGGAGGTTTCTTTGTTTGACCAATAATATTAACATATTGGAGTTTGTACCTTGCCTGCCCTCATCGTTGGTGTAGAGGCCTCCGTCACTGCTGTTACTGACACTACTGGTCTCACTGAAAAGGAGAGAGTAGAAGATGGAGATTTAGGGAAATAGAATACCATACATTTCACCATAAACAATTGTCGATTCAAGAAACACAAGCTAGCTTACACACACTGTGAACACACATTAAAATGCCAGTAAGCTACCTCAGTTTACAATAAATACCAAAATATCACTTTTTTGATACATTAAAATATGGTTTTCTACAGTCAATTTTCCTCAATTAATTAAGAGAAGCCAAGGTTTTATGTTTTTTTAAGAGAATGAGCAGTACAAGTGCATCAACCGAGAAATCTTAATTTGGCAACATTTAAAATCAGGAACTTTCCGATTGGTAAGGAAACAAGACGTTAAAAAAACTGACCGAATATTCTATGTCAGTTTTTCAGAATTGACTGCTTTTGATATTCAGCGAAGGAAATTAATTTCCGTCCAAATAAAAAAAGGGTGGCAGTTTGCAAGCCCTACACTGTACACAACACGGTTCTCAATCAGCCGTTGGCCTACACACACATACCTATACACTCAGAATACAGCAGCAGAGACGGAGGAGTGGAAACTTCCTGGGAATGAATAAAAAACAAAAGTGTATACACTAACCACCTGTCACTCATGTCCTCATCTGAGCCCTTCTGCTCCTCCAACTCCATCTTGTCCTTGGACCCTTCTGTTGGAGAAGAGATGGGGTCCTCACTCTCCACCACCACCCCTTCATCTGCAGCCTCCATCCCCAGTCTGTGGGGGGCCATTTTCCTCTTCTTCACCCTGTTCTTCCCTCCCCCAGGCCCCATCATTCCACCTCCATACAGCTCCATGGGCCCCCTGCCCTCATTAGCACCCATTCTATGCGGCCTGGCACCGACACGGGCTTTGGGGACAGGCGGGGGCCCTAGCATGGTGCAGGAAGGGGGTTCTGGTTCTGCAGGGGGGTCTACCGCCATACGTTTGACCTTTCGTCTCCGCCTGAGGCTGCGAGTTCCCTCTGCGGACCCCAGGACACCCAGGTCGTCCGGCCAAATCGGTCGCTTGCTTCGTCCTGTTTCTGCTGCGACCAGGGTGCGCCTTTTGGGGCCAAGTTGTTCATCCGAGTCGCTGTTGTCACGGGCATGGCTGTTGGCAGCCGAGACCCCCCCTGTACTGGCTCGGTAGTCCTGCAAGACACGTCAATGTGGTTCATATCAGAAGGTGACTGATGCTAAATTGGGAACACATTTGGATTGTTAATACCCCCAAAGCTATACGAGTAAGCATAAAAGACAGATTAAAATAGTGGGAAACCTTGAAGTGATTATGTGTTATGGTTCAATACAGTAAAGAATACTTAAACTGCAGGTAATCTGTACTAATTGGGCAATTCCAACTTTATGTGGAGACGACCAGTTTACAGTTTCTAAAGGATCCGATCAGATTAAGGTTTCTCTGCTTTGGTGGGATATCTATCTGAAAAAGGGAGAAAACTGAGAATAGTATGAAAAATGTGTGCTACTAGATCTCTGATATTACAGTGATTTGAATTAAAATCAACAATCCATTTAAAAAATATATACTTTTTCTATCTCGAGTGTAACATCTCAAGTAGATCAGCATATTTGATAGTTGATCTACTTGTATGATTCATGCACTTTTTGGGCTTTATACCAGTCACTTTCCTCATGGTTGCTTTAACAATGATAATAGTTTTGGCTACTTTTCCCATTTTTTGCACTTGAGAAACACAGGGTGAGCAACGAAACAACATTTATGGACATCTGAAGTGTTTTGCTCAAGCACCTTTTACAGGGAGAGTTTTTAGCCTAAAGATCTATATGTGTAAATTACTGCCCTCCATCCATTCACCTTGTGTTCTTCCACGCTGGACTCTGAGCCCTCACTGAGGTGGCCTGCCTCCCACGGCGGGTGCGGGTTGTCCGAGCGTCGTTTCCTGCCTCTACGCTTCCGAGCCTGCCTCTTCAGCAGACAGCCCACAGCCAGAGCATGGTCTCCTCCATCCCCAAAACCCCCACGGGCAGCCTGCTCAGAGCTCTCCTCCAGGGCTGACACCAGGTCATGGACCAGCTCGTCCATCGTCCGGCTAAAGTGCCTAAAGTTGAGGCATACAAGGAGATACTGGTTAACACATCTTGTCACATGCTTGGACACTAAAAAGCATTTAAGATTGAGTTTTATTGAAGAGTCAGCAGAGTCTGCAGGACAGCCAATAATGCTGTTGAGATACATATTTTGACATCAGGCATTACAAAGCTATACATATAGTCTATGGTAAAAGGGTATTCGTGTGTGTATGTAGGAATGATTTGCAGATTGTCATTGAAGGAGGAGGCGACAGATAAGTATGGGACCATCATTGTCAAGACAGATCCCCGCGCATTAACGTTACTTAGCTTAGCTGTTTGACATGAGCAACTATGAAAAACACGTTAGCAAGATGGCTAATTCTTCAAATTTGACACACAAAATCGATCCCTTTTCGTCGAGCAAAGTTGGATGCAACACAGGATGAGTTTGCGGCGTAATACTTACGCTAATAAATAGTCAGCTCTGATTTAACTGCCTGTGATGCCGCTTACAAAATGCTCTGCAACTACCACCAACATTACTCCTTTTTAGTTAGCTGTTTTGCTTGTTGTTAGCTGTTTAAGCTAACGTTTGCAAGCTAAGTCAACTTACGTTACAACAAACTTCCATCCATCACTTAAGATAACTACACAACCACAGCGAAGAGCTTATATTCCCATTTTTAAATGGTGGTATTTGTAACTACTGTCGTCAGAAGATAAACAACAAAGTATATATAGCAGATGATATTTGATGCTAGCTAGTTAGCATTGCTAGCGTTAGCTCTCTAGCTGGCTCATTCACGAGAGTTGAGTGGACGTGAACAATATGTTACGTCTCAGTGATTTCAAAGACCACCTACCAGCCGGTTCCCGCTTTGCCGATGGTTGTTAGATTAGCTGCACGGTACATTAAAGCCCCCAAATGCCAGATACCTTTAGCCAGAAACAACTGACAAACATTTAAACACCACAGACATCATCCTGACAAAAAAGCTAACGATCAGCTAGCTGGATCAATATGCGAAAAGAGGAGGACAAGCAGCAGAAGGTATTGTGTTGCCTTCAAGTGCTGCAGAAAAAAATTACGTTGACATTGTGTACAACGGCACAGCCAAACAATTACAATGTCATAATAATAATAATAATTATACAGATAATAGTAATATATAATACGAATATGCATTTAATCACTATACAAAACAATTGAAGAGCATCAAAAAAAAAAACAACAACAATGTATTTTGATTTAATTTATTTTAAGGCTTATATAGGCTAGTAAAACACTTACCACAATTGTAAACCCAAACTTTGTATTATTAAGGCTAAGATGCATTTTTTTTGTAAGTTGATCAAAATAGGCCTTTTTTGTAGTAGCCTATATGTGACTCAGGGGATTCAATTAGTCTCTGGTTATATTTAGTTGGATTATTCTACCACAAACCAACACATGAAGTTTAAGAACTTTAGTAGGTCCTTGTAAATCGGAATTTAAATATAGCAAGTGAAGGCAACTTCAGGCCCTAAATTCCCATTCTACATGCATTTACCTTTTGTGACCACTTGATGGCAGTGTAGACTCACATTGAAAAGGCTTCACGTCAGAGCCATGGTGGCTAGCTATCAGCTGGCCTATCACATTTAAACCAAAGGTCACCAGTTCAAACACATCAGTGGCAACGGCGTCATATCCATGACAGCAGTCACTGAAAGAGTCCCCGGGTACCAGGGAGACTTGGACTTCAGCCCATGTGACAGGTGCTGATATGTTCTGAATGTCAGTGACGGCCTTCCTGTGCTCTACATGGGTCAACAGCAACAACAGGTGTCACAGTCAGTGTTAACTAATGAGAAATGCACACATTGAAAAACTGTCAGGCATGCTTAGAGGGAGCTCTCTGCCAAGGTAGTTCAACTCAAAGTCAACTTAGACAAACATTCTGAGAAACAATCCTAACAGGTGTCCCACTTCCTCAAGTCCTTAAGAAGTCAGATGGTCTGATGGACGATGACCACTCTGTGACAGGCTCAGATTTCTGACCAGGGGGCCCAGGTAAAATTATTAAAACGCTGTCCACTTGCACATGACAGTCAGACACTTGACATGCTCACAGAGTGAAGACACGAGTCCAAGACTGGATGGGACTTGTGGAATTTTATACATAAACGTCTGTTTAGAGATACCAAAAAACAGAAAACTGCAACTGGGATTAAAAACACAATGGAATCATGATATCAGCAGAGGATGAAGAAGAGTTTGATGAAACTGCGGAGAACTTTAGCACTGACAACACATGGAGCTGGGTAAAGTAGTTTTTAAATCATCTGCATATGTGGATAAAACAGCATGAATTATGGGTAAAATAAATTGTATTAAGAACAATGAATGGATGTTAAAGTGAAAAGGTTTGTGATTGTGCTTTTATATGCCTGTAGTTTACAGAATGAATGGAGAGAAGTGTATTCAAGCACTTGTGTTTATATCACCACAGAGGAGGAATATAGGCATACGTTTCATCATTTAAAACTACTTTTTAATTCAATCTGAACCCTAATAAAATAATTAGACTCATATCTGTAGCATTTTAATGTGTATAGTCATGTAGCTGGTTCTTAGGACAGCAGAAACAGTGAGACCCGAGATATGTCTCTCAGTAATCCCCCCTGTAAGGCGATCTGCTCTGACTCAACTTGGGGAGAAGCAAAAAGGGGGTGAATGGGGGAACACGAAGGTACAGGGATGAAGCGAGCTGGCAGGACAGCCTGATGGATCAGGGAATCTTCTCACCTCTGTGGATTTCTGAGATTTAGTTATTTCTTAAGAAGGGATTCCACGTTGCATGAGACCAACATGTTTCAACAAAATGATACCTTGAAACTTACTAGGTGGGGTAACAATTAGGAGATATCTGTGGTAGTTAGAGAGTGTATTGTATTAATTTTAGACAAATCATTCATAAATATAACATCTATTGCTTTGTTTTCTGTAATTTATAACAGCAGACTCAACAATGTTTTGCCAAAGAGTATGTTCTACACTCATAATCTCACTTACTAAATTCCAGCTAATGTTTCTGTTCGGTCTCATGACTCTCAGACCACAATAGCCTGATCCAATCAGAGAGCTCGATATCAAGCAAGTGTGCAAAAAGATTATACAACAAATGTGTTAAAGCGCCGTGCCCCTGCTGAGTCAACGGAAATTACATCCAAACAGAATGACTAGTTTTTTAAGGAACATTGTGTTACTCAACGTTGTGGTGAATCATTCATTTAAAAATGATTGTCAGTGTTATTCCATTGCATTGCATAAAGTTGCAAACATTTAACCTGTAAGTAGGCTATGATCCCTGGCTATGATTTTCTTTTAAATGTGTGAGGTGTTGGCTTGATTTTCTCCCCCAGATTCTAAAGAATGTACTTCAAAAATCCCTTAACTATTTTTGACAAGTATAAAAACGTAGAGAAAACAAATGGTTGCCCTGCTGCGGTGTCATGGTGCATAGCAAGCAGTCAGCTCATAGCCTCCGACTCATAAATCCTTAATTTAAACGTGTGTGAAGACACTCCCCCAACAAGAAAGGGTGTTTTTTTTTGTTGCAAGGCTACATAAGGTCAACCAACAGGTAGCATACCAAATTAGGCCACTTATACGTCTGTGTGAATGCATGAAAAATAAACACTCAATATATTTGAGGGCTCTGTGTTGCCGATTTTTTTAGTTTTTCCTCTGTTGATGACTGTTGCTGATGGTTTAGTGCCAGAGTCTTATGTCAACTTGTTTGTGGTAGCCTGATAGGGGTCACTGCACCGACCATCCATGAAATTGCTATCATATGCTGTTTCGTGTCCAGAGTACATCGGCTGTGCTCAGCTCTTCCTGGTAGGGCAGCTCATTGGTCTTAGGGCAGCTGTAAGGCTCATATATCCTTTAGCAAACTCAGTAACACTCACAGAATTACGGATGTCTGCAGACTTAAGAGTGTCAGAATGGGCTTACCAGTGCTACAGTTGTAATACAGTATGTATCATGCGTACAGTTATTACAGGACTATTACTGGATCTTATTTGTAATTGAATGTTAAATTTTTTTTAAATGTAAATGAAGTCCATGTTGTTATTTTGTTATGTGAAACCTTCAGGGTCGCACATTAGGAAGTTGTTTGGTACACTGTCAATTATGAATGCAGTACTGTGATGAATCAACTTGTAGCTGCAAACGGGAGAAGTGCTTCCTTAGAAATGAGGGAAAAGGCCAGTCTGAATGAGAGATTAAAGAACACATATTTTATATATTTCACTGGAAATCCCTTACATTAAACGTGGTTAAAGGACAAAAGTGTAAACCACATGATAGTACATTTGACGTAACTTATTATACAGTAAAAGGAGGCACCAATCTATACATTCAGGAAAATGCTTATAGTTCACGTAAAGTAATTTTACATATTTGATCGAAACACATTATGTGACTTAAAGAGCACAATTATGACCTAATGGTTTCCCAATTCAAGTTAACAGTGTTTTTTGTGTGCACTTGCATTGACATTCTGCAAGCAGAGTGCAGCAGTGAGATGGTAGATCTTGCAATATTTATTTCACAGTTTAAAAACATAATTTTGCAGACTTGGCAATTTTTTTAATCATTCAAATTTGGCAGGGTTGTTATGAACCAGGAAAACAAATATCTAATTTTCAGACTTTAATGTCAGCTGAGGCTGCAGGTCGGTGTAAGTTCAGCAGGTCACTAAACAAAGTTCTCAGGCAATAAACTGGTGGTGAAACAGAACATGCTGAACCTGCAGGCAACAATACACACAAATAGAAACACAAACTGGATTTGGATTGGTTTTTATCTTTTAAAATGTTCCCCTTAATTTCAGTGTGAACATGACATTGTGAACATTTCAAAAGTACACACAACAGCCCCACAAGATAACAACAGACAGAGCTCAGCGTTAGTCGACTGTGGTGGAAAAACCCTCACAAAGACACACATTCTTTTCTCTCTGGTTCAGCCCAGAAAGTCTGCATCATAGACTCTGGAAAAAAAACAATTAGTTCCCATACACACAACACACACACACACACACACACACACACACACACACACACACACACACACACACACACACACACACACACACACACACACACACATACACACACACACACACACACACACACACACACACACACACACACACACTGAAGTGGCACTTGTTGTAGATGAGCTGCTGTAGTGAGGTCTTCCATGAAGAAACTCTGAAAATGTCTGTCAACAATGTTGGCTGTGTTCCAACTTACACACAGGTAGATAAATAGAAAGTAACTGGCAATAATGTAACTTTTAATGCCAATAACATTTATTTCAATGTTTTATATATTTGAGTGCACATTAGCTCAGTGTTATCAGGTTATTACCTATTAAATAGGTCCTATTTGGTGCTTCTTAGCCTATGCGTCTGTGCATTTGAAATAGAAATGCCTCGCTTTTATTAATACAAGAACAGATGTAGCTGGTGTTGAGTTCTTCAAAATGACTCCACCAGTTAACCACATCCTCCTGACACACCGTTTCACTACAGGGTCTCAGGCTACACATGGCATGTGCTATGAAGCAGGCCTGTGATTGGTCCGAAATATCACCTCACTGCAGCAGACTGGGAGACTTCAAACGATGACGTAGATCCACGTTTTCCCGCCGTCATAACACACAGTAGCTGCTGCTTCCTCCAGAGCTCTTTAAACTGAGACATTGTAGCGTGGTAATGTTGTTCTTATTTATCATTTAACATCTCGTATACATTTTTCACATGAATAACATAAACCATAGGTTATATGTTTTTGTTTTAGACAGATTTTTGCCCTATTTCACAAACTTTTGAATACACTATGACAAGTTTATTGTGGACTAATGAAGCATAATGTGTGGCTTTTGTTTTCACGTACAATAATAACCAAAAAAACCAAATTCTGAATAGAAATAATACATTTGACGCAACCATGTAACTGCCCGGAGCAATGTAAACAAGTAGGCTAGCT